GAATGGAAGGGAAGAAAAAAGAAAGAGAAGAAAAAGAAGATTGGGAAGGGAGGATTTTTTTTTTACAATTACATTAAATTTAGAACAGTTAAAAAAGATTAAAAAGTTGAAATATAAAATTAGAATTTTGATGGATGTTCTGTGGCCCGTGTGGTTGTTCGGGGCTACATCATCATCGCCGCTGGTTTTGGTTCGTTTCATATTCGACATAACTGGAAAGTATTATCATTGGTAACAAGAATGTTGTGCCTACTAATTCTCGTATAATTTTCGCAAACATCCGGCTTCTTGCTAAATATTTGCTAAAATCTTGCAACTCCTAGCTGCTGTCATACTGTTGGCGCGGGACACACGAGCACACATACGCATACACACAAATATACACGCACAAGTCGATGGCGTAATAGTCTAGCAGAGCATTGAGAGAAGTTAAGAGGATTGAAATCTTAGTAAAGTTAAGAGGATTGAACACTTCTCGATTTATTCGTCTGCCAGACTTATTAAGTTAAAGGCGATATGCTCATATCGCAAAAATTTAGTATTATTCTTGGTAGAATGAATAATGAATTTTTCAGTTGCCGGCTCATGAACCATCGTTACTCACCACTGTTTATGACAGAGATGTCTATGAGCACGAGCGAATTCTAGAGCAGAAATATCAGATAAATGAGGATTTTCTGGCCTTTCAAGAAGAAATCAGCCCCGAAATGCGATATATTGTGGTGGAATGGCTCTCTAATGTGGCCACGGATTTCGGCCTTTGTACGGTTAGTTTAACTTATGCAACCAAAAAGTTTTATCACGTCTTTCATCCGAATTCTTTAGCAGTACTGGGGGTTCTTACCAAATGAATTCGCGATCTCTGCTTGCATCATTATCAGCTTGTGGCGGTTGTTATTACTTGAAGAGCTGAGCACTGTTGTACTCTCTCTTGATTTAAATGTGCTAGAATTCTGAGTTTGAGGGTTCATGTTATTTTACTCGGTGAATGTCCAAATTCCATTTCCCACAAATTTCTAAACAGCGCCTTGGCAGACGAGGCACAGTTGCAGTTAGTGCTTTGCTCCTTTTGAAAGTTGAGGATTCAACTCCGTCTGGGGAAACAATAAATCCCCTCTACCACTTGTTCATTGTATCCATTATAATTGGTACTAGAAATGCCAGAAATTCGGAATCACCGCCAACTAAAAAGTCCTGGAATGCTCTCACCTATTGTTGGAGGTGGATAAGAAAGGAATCCGAGTTTTTTGTCCAGCATAAGGACACACGCATTTCAAGACTTAAACAAGAGCAAGAAAATCTAAAAGAGAACGGAAAAGACAATCAAAGCATAATGTATGAAACCCAGACTGGGACGCATCAGGCTTAAAGGCGCGATCGTGCTTTTTTGCACCAAA